CAGATGAAAGCTTTTGCATATAGAATGGATAAATAATAAGGTCCTACTGTATAAGACAGAGAACTATATTCAGTATCGTATGATAAATCATACTGGATAAGAACATATTAAAAAAGAATGTACTATATATATGTATAACTGAATCACTTTACTGTATAGCAGTAATAACACAATACTGTATATCAATCATACTTCAATTTTTAAAATAATAAAGTCTACATACATTGTGCCCTCCTCTTTGAAAAGCAGCAGACAGGACATCCTAGAATCAACAGCAGCATGTGACAATAATGTAAGGGCAGCACACTTGAGGACCTGGTGAACCACGCCCATTGCACTCCATGCACCTGACATCCGAGCCAAGCTCAGAGTGCTGGGGGCTCTGACTATGGGGTGACAGTGACCTGGTGATACCTTTGTTCATAAAGTCTCCTTGTCCTGGGAAATTCTTCTCCCCAAACCACTTCCAAGGGCTGCTCACCTTGTTGACAAGTGTTCTCCAATGTTCCAACCTTCAATGACTGCTTTGGGGTCTGAAACATCATTAAAAGGCTCTCCTGTGTGCTTGGCATTGATGCTTGCAACTTGATGTTGTTATATACATTTATTTCTGCCACAATCTTCCCAACTAGGTGGTCAGTTCCTTAACTGTAGGGAACCCAGTTTATATGTCAAAATACTCTCAGCCTTGCCCCGAGGAGGTGGTCTATAAACTGGGAAGGAGAGAAGGACAGGGGCAGGAAGAAGATGAAGGCCAACATTTAACATGCCCCCTAAGGGCTCACCGTGCTGACTCCCAGACGTGGGGACCACTTCTACCGGTCTGAGTGGAGCCTCTAAGAGGCCACTGCTGCCAGCGCCCCCAGTTCCAGAGTCAGAACCTCTGGTAGGAAGCCTTCCAGAAACAGCCCAGGGTGCTCTCTCCTAAAGCTGTTTGCAGTAAGTGACTCACCCAATTAAGAGCATCTACATAACAAAGCCTCACCCGGCTGCAGAGGTCATGCAGACTGTGAAGTGCGTCTTTAGTGCGTGCGTAGAAGGTTCACTAATTACCAGTCATTTCCACTCCTCAAGAGCCTGTCAGCCTTTGAGATGCAGGGGATAAAAGAATCCCCAAATTCCCACCCCACACCAATCACTCCTCTCTCTCCAATCCTCCCCTGCATTTCAAACCTGTGACTAATTAAGTATGAGGGATGGGCCTCTGCCCACCTGGCTGAGTGCCTGGAGGAAGGAAGGAGAGGAAAGAGGTTGCCTCTGATGGGGAGCAGGTTTTAGTAAAAGGAAACTGGAAAGGGCAAGGGAGCAAAGCGAGTTCTGACAGCGCTGCCTCCTCTCCGTTAAACAAACAGAACTCGTATTGTTTTACCTCTGTTTATAAAGGTGATAAGGGCTTCCCCCACAGATCAATTGGTAAAGAATACGCCTGCAATGCAGGAGATCCGGGTTCGATTCCTGGGTCAGGAAGATCCCCTGGAGAAGGGAGAGGCCACCCACGCTAGTATTCTTCAGCTTCCCTGGTGGCTCAGATGGTAAAGAATCTGCCTGCAGTGTGGGAGACCTGGGTCCAATCCCTGCATTGGGAAGACACCCGGAAGGAGGGCATGGCAACACACTCCTGTATTCTTGCCAGGAGAATCCCCATGCACAGAGGAGCCTGGCGGGCTACAGTTCATGGGATCACAAAGAGTTGGACATGACTGAGCGACTCAGCACAGCATAGCATAACAGTGATAAGTGTATGCGATAGAAACTACAGTAAGCAGGTAAGAACAAAGCTAAAATCACTCATAATTCCACCCCCTTAGGTGACCAGATGTTGGTCACATAAACACCTTACAGCCTGCTTTCTAGATGACATGCATTTTTAAATTTTTATTTACTTACTTATTTTTGGCCACAGAGCATGTGGGATCTTAGTTCCCAGACCAGGGATTGAACCCTCAACTCCTGCAGTGGAAGGGTAGACCTTTAACTGTCCTTAACTGGACAGCCAGGAAAGTCCCTAGGTGACATAAATTATCCATGGGTGTGTGTATGCCCCTGCTCTTTCATAAATCAGCTTTTTCCATTTCATGAAATACATCAAATGGCTCTCTCCATGGGCCCGTGGAAAGAAAGCTGTCAGAGATACTGACCTAGGCTACCAGAGAGACATCTTTGGGCATCAGAGCATAAGAGGAAGCCATTGCCAGAATTTCTGAAACCTGAAGGAGGCCACTGTGAAGCAGGAAAAAGCCCTGACCTTTGGAACTCAAGTGACTTCCTCTCTACAAACCTTCCTCTATACAAACCTATTTTCATCTAGAAGATGAAAATAACACTGCATGCTTTATAAGATTATTGTGATGATGTAAGGGAAACCATGGTTACGAAAGGGCTATGCAAGCACTGGATATTTTATCCCTTGTTTTAGTAAGTATTCATTTGTGGAACTTCCCTGGTGGTCCAGTGGTTAAGATTCTGTGCTTCCAGAAAAGTCATCTGGTTCAGCCCTAGAGGAGCTTAAAATCTAATTGGGAAGTTGAACACACACACACAAAAGTTAAATGATAAGAATAGCTAATAAAAGATATCATCAATTAGTAGATAATTAAGTGCCAGATAAGTGGCCCAGACAGTACTCCAGGAATTCAAAGGTAAGAAAGAACCCGGGGGATAATAGTAATAACCACTTTGAGCACTTTCTATGTGCCAGGTACACACAAGCATTGTTGTATTTCATTCACCCAGTGACTTATGAGGTAGGTACCATTATTACATCCATTTTGCACAGGAGGAAACTTAAACCTCAGAGAGGTTAAGAACCCTGCCCCAAGTCACACAATCTAGGAAGTGTGGCAGTGTGGAATCAAGCAGCTGGACCCGGGGCACCCACCACAGGGAAGCACTATGATCTACTCTGATGGAGGTAGGGGAAGGGGAAGCTGCATACTACAAAAGGGAGCCTCAGAAGCAAAGATGAGACCAAGGAGGGTGTCCTGGTGTGAGGGAGAAGATCCCACTCTGGCTGGATGCCAGTCTGCGTGGGCAGTAAGAAGGTGGAAGGGGAGGAGCTAATGCATACAAAACTTCTTCTTTTTTTTATTTTTGGCAGAACACGGTCACCCAGGAGGGCTTGAGGCAACAGAAGGTCCAATTAAAGCAGTTTTGGGGAAGTGGGCCTGAGAGGAGACACTTCAGGAGGCTATTAGATGGTGAGGCGGACTGAAGAAGAAGCACCTAGGGGTAGGGGGACCACCATTCTCCCTAGAAAGCCCTTGTCCCTCAACTTTTTCATTTTCATGATATTCTGAGCCAATCTACATTGGTTTCCATAGCCTCCAGCCTCCTTTTGGCATGTTTGCTGACTTATTTCATACTTCAGTTCTGCAAGGGATAGATCATTCATTTATTCCAGAAATGCTTGTGAAGCTCCCATGTCAAAGGGAAAATCAATCTGCACAACTTGATGGCTAGTTAGAAAGGGGAGGAGGCTGAAGATGCTGCTGATAATCCAGCAAAGCTAATCCTCACCAGACTCCCCAATTTCCCCACCTCTCAAGCCTGATGGGGGACAAGTCTCCCCACATCAGCCAGCTCCTCAGGCCATTGCTTCCAGTTCTCACCTCCACATCCCACCATCCTTGCTGAAAAGGCCAGGCCCCCACCAGCAAATGGCAAAAAGGCTCCCTTTTCTTCTGAAGAAGCAGGGCAGGGAAACTGAAGATATGGCAAGGCCTTTGACTCTACAAGCAAAACTTGGCGAATGTGACAGAAGAGTCCCGTGGTAGAAAGAAGGCTCAGCAGCAAAGGTGGGGACAGCAAAAGAAAAACCTTTGAAGATATGTTAATGTAACCAATATTTACTGAATATCGTTGGTGTATACGGCAGACTCTGCAGAGAACAAAAGTAGGGTGACATCATTTGTGCTTTTAAATAATGCTGTGGAAAAGGTAAGGGAGAAGAAATGGAAAAAGTAAAGCTAGAAATAGAAACAGGAAAAGAAGAAACACTGACCCCTGAGACATGAAGCACCCTGGCCAAAGTCAGGGACTGGGGAAAGCATGGAGGGAAAACCTCCTAACAAGCCATGGTTTCTCCAGTAGTCACGTATGGATGCGAGCATAGGACCATAAAGAAGGCTGACCACTAAAGAATTGATGCTTTTGAACTGTGGTGTTGGGAGAAGACCCTTGAGAGTACCTTGGACTGCAAGGAGATCAAACCAGTCAATCCTAAAGGAGATCAGGCCTGAATATTTATTGGAAGGACTAATGCTGAAGTTGAAGCTCCAATACTTTGGCCACCTGATGTAAAGAGCCAACTCATTAGAAAAGACTGATGCTGGGAAAGATTGAAGGCAGGAGGAGAAGGGGACGACAGAGGATGAGGCAGTTGGATGGCATTACCGACTCAACAGACATGAGTTTGAGCAAGCTCCAGGAGCTGGTGAAGGACAGGGAAGCCTGGCGTGCTGCAGTCCATAGAGTCAAAAAAAGTCGGAGACAACTGAGTGACTGAACAACTTCCGTGAGTCTGCCCTGTACTCAAACACAAGACCTCAAATGTTTCAGGCCACCACTTGCCCAAGGAAACGTAGCCCAGAGGTGTTCCCATGCCATTGGGCCATTGATTGCATTCCACAAACATCTTTTGAGCACTCAAGTGCTAGGCACTTAAGCTACTGAACTCTGCTGAGAAGAATGAGAGTTGATTGTCACCTAAGGTGGTTGATTTGACAGTATCTCTGATGCCTTAGAAACTTTAATCAGACTCACTGAGTGCCACTGAGGCTTGTGGGGAGAGAAAACTAGTAGTGAAGGGGAGAAATTCTGTACATTCTCAAGCCAGAAGGGGATAATCATTTTATTCTCACTGGGCTTTGGTAAGAGGTAAATAATGAAACATTGTGAGGCTACATAGGACAGTGTAGAAGACCAAGTAGGCATCTTATAAAATCATCTGAACATTATGTTTTCTTACTCAATTCTGGCCTGACTCTCATTACTGAACTTACCAGTTTTTCTGTTGAAATTGTTGCCTGGTGAGGTTGTAGACATTCAGTCAGACTGCTTAGTGTTGGGGTCGTCACCAGTATCACCCGAGGAGCCCATGGGCACATCTAAGAAGTAATCACCATCACGGGGATCTAAGCTGGTGCAGCCACTATGAAAAAAGTGTGGAGATTCCTCAAAAAACTAAAAATAGAACTACATATACCCCAGAAATCCCACTCTGCACATATATCTGGACTAAACAATAATTTAAAAAGACAGCCCTTGCAGCATGGCCATTGGTGCTGCTGCTGCCCTGGTGTTTTTGAGGCAGGAGAGTGGAGTCTGGGGTGGGGGGTGGGGGAGGGGAGGGTCGAAGGGCGGTCTGTGAGTCCTGGTCCAGTCACTATGGATTGTTTTTTCTTTGGCTGTGAGCTCTCAGGCCACACCTACTCTTTCAGCTTCAAGGCAGAAGAAGAGGATGATACAGAGCTCCTGCTAGCTTTGACCATACTCTGCCTCACTGAGAGAATAATGTGGTAGAAGTCGTAGCACGGAACCATGACCACGAGGAGATCGAAGTCCCTGTGGCCAACCTCAAGTTGTCCTGCCAACCTATGTTCAGTTTGGATGACTTCCAGCTCCAACCACCCATAACCTTCTGCCTGATGTCAGGTTCTGGCCCCACGCAAATCACTGGGCGGCACCACATTGTTACTACAAGCAATGATCTTTCTGAGGAAGAGTGCAAAGAGGAGGGGAGTGAGGAGGAGGAAGCTGAGTTATGCCCCATCCTGCCTGCTGACAAGCAGGGGGCCAGGCTCTAACCCTCTCTGGTGAGCTAGCTGCTGGCCACGTGCACCACATACCGCGTTCCTGTACAAGTTTCAGGAACTGTGTGACTTCTCCATTGAAGAGGATGGGTAGTGGTGGGGTAGGGTGTGGTGCGTGGGGCCTTGGTCTGGTGCCAGAAGAGAGGGGGCCCCATTCTCCATAGGTCCTTGGTCTTCTAATCATGTACCCCACCTGGGCTTCCCTTTTCTCCAGGAATGGGAGGAACTCTGAACTTCTATCCTCTCTCTCCTCACTTGCCTATGAGGTTGGAGGTCAGCACCTAAAGCTCAAGACTACACATTTTTAACATTTGTTACATTTTTGGATAAAGGTTGAAATAAAGAGTGGAGGTTTTTTTTTGCAAAAAACAAAACAAACAAAAAACATGCATTTATATGCTCACAGCAGCACTAGTCACAATAGCCAAAGCATTGAAAAAATCAAAATATCCATCACAGGATAGATGAATAAAGAAGATGTCATAAATACACACACACACACACACACACACACACACACACACTGGAATATTACTCAGCCATAAAAAAGAATGAAATTACATCATCTGCAGCAACATAGATACAACTAGAGATTGTCATACTAAGTAAAGTCAGGCAGAGAAAGACAAACATTATATGGTATCACTTAGATATGGAATCTAAAATATGACAAAAATGAATTTATCTATGAAACAGAATCACAAAAATAGAGAATAGACTTGTGGTTGCCAAGGGGGAGGAGGGGAGGGAGAGGGATGGGCTGGGAGTCTGGGATTAGTAGATACAAACTGTTACATTTAGAATGGATAAACAAGATCCTACTGTATAACACAGGAAACTATATCCAATCTCCTGGGATAAACCATAATGGAAAAAGAATATTTAAAAAAAGGAATGTATATATGTGAATAACTAAGTGATTTAGCTGTACAGCAGAAATTAACACACCACCATAATCCAACTATACTTCAATTTAAAAAAGACGGGGAGGGAGAAAAGTAGTCACCATCAGATCTGTTTAGAAGCCATCCAAGAGCCAGGCTAGGGCAAACCAACATATATTATTGATTGTGAGTGATATAAACTGGCTCTGGCTAATTTAAGCAAGAAAAGAAACCTATCAAAAGGATATCAGGAAGCTCAGAAAATCAGTAAAAGGTCTAGAGCCCCAGACTTAGGAAACGGTACAGAGAGGGGCTCGGGAATGGAGGATGTCACTGGTCATACTACTTCAACAGTCTGATTAGACACTGCCTGAGCAGCTGCCATTATCACAGTGGATGCAGCAGCAACTGGCCGGTTGCTTCACTGTCTCCCTAGACAATTAATGCCATTGTATTGGGTTCAATACTGCTGCTGAGAAGGGTTTATAATCCACCCTAAACCTCTGCTCACCTCTTGAGGAGCCTCAACTGTCAGGGACAGGGAGAAGGAGGATGTGACCCCTTCAGCATCTGTAGTTGGAAACAGGTCCTTTATTCCAACAAGCAGGAAGCAGGATTCAGATGCTAGGCATAAAGAAGGAGATAACACTAAGGGTGAGGAGTATAACCAAACTTCACTCCCAAGTGACTTTGGAAACCCATACCTCAAGACCCTTTGAAAGCAAGTGTCTAACAGGCTTCTAAAACTGTTTTGGACCACTGTGTGACATTCCAACGGTGGTAGCACCATGCTGTGCTAAGTTTCTTCAGTCGTGTCTGACTCTTTGCAATCCCATGAACTGTAGCCCGCCAGGCACCTCTGCTCGTGGGATTCTCCAGGCAAGAATACTGGAGTGGGTTGTTGTGCCCTCCTCCAGAGGATCTTCCCAACCCAGGGACTGAACCCACATCTCTGAAGTCTCCTGCATTGGCAGACAGGTTCTTTGCCACCAGTGCCACTTGGAAAGCTCCCAATGGTGGTAACACCAAATGGAAATAAGGTTAGACAGGTGAGACAGGTAAATGATATGCTTGGATGCAAATATTAAAAAAAATTTCATTGACTTAAACAAATAGGGATTTTATTTTTCTAATATAACAAAAGTTTTGGAGGCAGGTGATTCCTAGAAATTGTTGTGTCTCAGAGACATCAGGATTAAGTCTCTCTCTGCTAGTCTCTTGGATTTTTCCTCATGGTCACAAGATGGCTGCTATGGTTCTGGATGTTGTATCTAAGCCCACAAAAGGAAGAAAGGAGAAAGAAAGGAACAGGAAGGGTCAAAACAACTACATCATTTCCTTTGATCAAGAAAACAATGTTTTCCAAAGCTCCCCCTCCTACTTTGCTACATGTGCTTCATTTGCCCAGACTGGGTCACATAACCATTTCTGGCTGCAAGAATAATCAGACAAAATGAAAACAAGATTGTCATGATTGGCTCCCACCAGTTTTGCACCACTGCCTAACCCAGGCACACTGCTACAATGTTAAGCTGAGGAAGAAGGAAGGAGGTGGATATTGGATAACCTAACTAAATTGTGGTATCAGATTTGGGCATTTTAGGATCAGAAGTTGGACACATAAGCATAGGGAACAAGGGCCTTCCAGGAATAAGGGACAGAGGAGCAGAAAAACACAGAGCATGTAGAGAGAACATTAGATTTGACTGGGGTGTAGACAGTTTTGCTTTTGATAATCTATCCTATAGAAGTAAAACAACTGATTTCAAGGATATAGACACAAAAAATATATTAGAGAAGAAATTCAGTTAACTACCTATATGACCATCAACAGGGAAGTGGCTGATTAAGTGAGGTATATCCACTGTATGGAATACAGGAGGTCCTTGACTTCAACAGTTTAACTTACGATTTTTTCAACTTTACAGTGGTATGAAAGTGACAGGCAAACAGTATAAACTATACTTCGAATTTTCAATTTTGATTTTTTCCCAGGCTACTGATATGCAGTATGATAGTTTCCTGATGCTGAATAGCAGCAGTGAGCTGCCACTCCCAGTCAGCCACACGATCACAATGGGAAAAAACTGATACATTACAACCATTCTGTACCCATACAACCTTTATTTCTTTTCACTTTCAGTACAGTATTCAATAAATTACATGAGATATTCAACACTCTATTATAAAATATACCTGTATTAGGTGATTTTGCCCAACTGTAGACTTACGGAAGTCTACTGAGCACGTTTAAGGTAGGCTAGGCTGAACTATGGTGTTGGTAGATTAGAAATATTAAATACGATTTCAACTGGATGATATGTTCAACTTTACCAGCTGAACTACACGGGAAGCTAGGATGGGTTTATCAGGTAACTCCATCAGAAGTCATTGTACTATGCAGCTAAAAAAAGGAATAAATTAGCTCTCTATCTATAAACTCATTTTTTACTGAGAAAGAATGAACAAATTGCAGACAACTCTAGTATAACCATTTTGTATAAACAAGCAATAACATAAGAGCCCCATACATTTGAGTGTAATTTATATGAGAATGCTGAGCATGGTGCAGGGACAGAAGTTACACCCCAGGCTGTTAACACTGTATATCTCAGGAGACAGGGTGGGAAATGGAGAGGAAATGGGTGAGATCATGTTTTTCTTTATGTATCTTGAGAGCTTTGCTGGTTGACATGAACATAGATATCATTTATAACTTTGAAATGCAACTTAATCAAAGCGGTTTAAAAGAAGTTTAGAACTAAATTACAAAGTGTGAAGTGTTACACGTGGACAGAGGAGAGTCACTGAATATTTGGGGGCCAAGGAATGATGAGAGCAAGAAAATTAAGCTGGTAGCAGGATGTATAATACATCAGGGGCAAGTGAGGCCAAGGATACACAGAATAATTAGAAGGTTCGTGCTGTAGCAGCTCAGCCAGAAGATAATAATGGACTAATAATACAGGGCTAATAACACATAGCAGTAATATGTGAAATGAGAAAAAGAAGGAGCCCAGGCTAGAGCCTTAGGACATAAGAGCATGGAGGGTGGAAGAAGCAGTGATGGGGGAGGAATGTCTCCATTAAACTGTGTCAACCAACACATCATGCACTTTGAAAACCAAAATAAATAACTGGAAAACCATAGATATTGGTATATTTTCTTCCCCAACCTCCTTGATCATTGATTTGTTTTATATTTACAATATAAAGGCTCAGAATAGTCATTACTTTTCCGTAAGTTTGTGCTATCTCCCTTATTAAACTGAAAAAAACACCCAAGATATGAGACAACAAAGAATGCTTACTGGTAACCCCCAAAAGTGAAGTGAATCCCCAAAGATATTGTTCATTCAGCACAGCGGATGGTACTAATCAGTGCCCTTTTCTTCATTCATTTCTTGAAAGGACAGCTCCAGTCCCTGCCCTGTCAAGTTACCATCCAGTGAAGAAGAGAGACTCTCAACAGAAAATCCCATGTGGTAAGTGCAGTGAGCCAGGTGAAGAGGAGGGCAGAAGTTCACTCTAGATAGAAGAGAAAGCCTTAGCAAGGTCCTGAGGTGAGACGCTATATGGCACCTCTGAGTAACCAAAATGCAGCCACGGGTGGCAAAGACTCAGAATGCGGGGCAGAAGGAGACAGGAGAAACCTAGTCTGCCTTTTAAAACAATTTTTAAAGATCACTCTGGCTGCTGAAGAGCTAGAAGAGAAACAAGGAGGGGAGCTCAAAGGTCCAGTTTCCCCATCAGACTGGGAGCTGTCCAAGAGTTGAGCAGAGCCCACTTTATTTATTCCTTTCTCCTCCTCTGTGTGGGCCCCTCCTGCTCAGCAAGGCCTCAGATGCAGGTAGATGCAGTTAACAAGACAGCAGACACTCCCCCACAAAGTAAGTAAAAGCCCAGCAAGATTCCTCAAGAGTGATGAGTTGAGTTGCTGCGGGTCTGATGGAAAGGAGGAATGAGGATACGGATGAGACGCCCCGAGGCAAGGCCAATTTCTTCTCACCATGCCTCAATTTCTTTATAAAACAGGCCATTCACGGTACTTACCTGAGTTAATGTTAGTGTCCGACAGAAAACAACCGTTCTAACAGAGTTAGCTTTTGTTTTTAACCTTCCTGAAAGACAGGTGGGACCTTATGGGCACGAAAATGTTTTCCCTGCTGTCTGAGGTATGACTGGTCTCAGATACCACAGAATGTTCGAGAACCCCTGAGCCAGTCAGGTCTCGGGACTACCAAAAGACCAAAGTTCGACAAAGTTTTACCTGAGAGTTTGGACCGGGGTATGTGCTTGTAGTCCTTTGATTTAAAAGGACTACCAAAAGACCAAAGTTCGACAAAGTTTTACCTGAGAGTTTGGGCCGGGGTATGTGCTTGTAGTCCTTTGATTTAAAAATCCTCAGATACAACGTTAGGCAGGGGGAAAGGACCTGTCCACTGTCCTCCTGTGAGTCTTGGGTTGTGCGCCAAGGCGCTGGATCTCGCCGCGACATCCCGCGGCCCAGTCGGCGGGGGCGGAGCCCGGCGAGCCGGGGGCGGGCCGGCGGAGCGGAGGGGTGGGACCGGCACTGCAGTCCGCGGCCCCGCCCCCGGCGGAAGTGCCGCTAGGCCCGCCCCTCCCACCGGAGGCTGATTCCCCTCGCCCTTCCCCCGGCCCACTCTGCCCAGCGCAGTTCGGCTCCTAGGGCGTGTAGGGCCGGGGCCCCACCACCAGTCCGGAGAGGAGGCCCCCGGGTCTGCGTATCTGGCTGTCCCGGGTGGTACGTTATGTCCCTTTCATTCCCCCGCCCTCCCTTCCATTCCTGCGTTACCGGCGCGGCAGCAGGCGCCGCGGGGAACCGCACAGGTAAAGACTCGGCTAGAGAGGGCGCAGGTGTGGGTCCCTCCCAGGCTGGACGGGTAGGGGAGAGGCTGACAGCACGTGCCCGGCTTTTTTTTTTTTTTTTTTTAATCAGAGCGATTGTATTGATTGTGGGACTCGGGGAGGGCGGACGCAGAACCCAGGAGCCCAGCACAGCACCCGGGTGACAGAGGGGGCGGGACTGAAGCCCCCAGAGCTTGGGGACCGGATCATTCGTGTCCCCGCGTCTTGCGCAGGCTCTGTTGTGTCTCAGAAGTGACGAGCTGGTTGGGTGGGGGCGGGTCGAGGCCGCGGCAGCGGACGGTTATTCCCCCACCCGCTCCCCGAGGTGACTGCGGTCTGACAGTCGCCCCGCCCGGGCGCGCAGTCTTAGGTTTGCTGAATGAAAATCAATAAAAACCGATGCAATGGCAACGAACATGAAACACTTTGGTTGTTATTATTTGCGTTTGTTAAAGTATTAAAAAAAAAAACAAAACTTCCTTCTTGGAAGAGGTGGCTAGAATCAGAGTCTCGGAGACGGACTCAAAATGCCCCCTGGGCTCTCGGCATGGGGAGGGATCCCAAGCCGTGCAAACTTCCCGGAGCTGCTGTGAGGGATCCAGCGGCGGTGGGCGAGCCCCCCAGGGCGCTGGGCTTGCGGATGCGGCTTTCCTCTGCGCCTCATTGTCCGCACTTTAGGGCGATGGTGTGTCCCCCCCCCCCCCCAATCCATTCGCTTCTCCCCGGTTCACCACCCCCACGCCCCGGGGGCCGCGCCTCCTCCCCTCCCCTGAGCTCTCCCTGGCGCTTTAAATAATGATATTTGCATGCAGGGAGCGATTCATAAATATGTCAGGGCCGGTGAAATATAGGCAACATTTCAAACTTTCTATTTAAAAAACATGAATTATGGCCGCGGAAAATGTGTTCCCATTTAAAGGCGATACGAAGTATTTGGTGTCTCGTCCCCGGGCCCATCCATCACGCAGACAATAAAGAGAGTTTTTCGCCCTGACACCCGCGATTTATGGGCGCCCTTCTCTGCCCTCATCACTCACCCGCCGCGGCCGGCCGGGCGACAGGCCCCGCGGAGAGACCGGCGGCCCGCTCTCCCCCCGCGCGCGCAGTTTGCGCCCTCGTCAGCCCCCCAAGACCACCGCTCCCCAGGGGAAGCGCTGCTCTGGGAGGTCCACGGTGATGGTCTGGGCAGCCAAGTGGGCAGCCCAGTGGGAGACAGAACCACACTCATCCTCTCATCTCCGCGCAAGCCTCTCTCAAGGCTGGGATGAGCAGGCAGACGAGCGGCCTTGCGGGCTGGCTCTGCGTCCGGGCCTCGCCCGCCAACCGCAGCAGCGCGCGGGGAAGTTTGCAGTGCAGGCAGCAGGAGGTTATTTACGTGCGGTTTCGAGGTGAGGGGAAAGCGCCGGGCAGGGGACTCTCCAGGGGGGGCTCATTCTGCCCGGGAGAACTCGAGTTGGTCCCAAACTTTCTTGAGCCCCTGCTGGGCGGACGCTTGTGGACAAAGCTTTCTGCAACTTTTACAAAGTCGCCTCCTCCCTGGTGCGATTCCCATAAACGCATCCTGGGAGTCCGCGGCACCTTGGAAACTATTTTTTTATGGGGCAGGGCCCGAGAAGTTGGCGAGAAATAAGGAAAGGGAGGCGCCTTCCTTAGCGTTTTACCGCGGACCAAGCTCGGCCACCAGGTACCCTCTTTGCCCACCTCCCCACTTTGCGCTCGGACACACCCCTAAAGCGCGCTGTCGTCTCAAAGCGACCGCCGAATCTCTGCTGCAAACTTGCTTTGAAGAAACTTCGAGCTCCGTCTGCCGTGGAATTTGCTTTCAATTTTCGCCCCGGGCGGACTCGGCCCCGGCGGGTTTCCGAAGCACCGGCAGAGGGTGGGGGCTGCGGGGCACTGCCGATCGGGAGAGACTAATAAGGCCGCGGACGCTGATAGTCCAGCCTCCCTCGGAGGCCAGACCTGCAGCCTTCTGAGCACGGGGAGCCACCTCGCGTCCTGCGCTGGGTGGATGGGGCGTCTCCACACCCGGGAACCGGGAGCCGTTTCCTGCTGGATGCCTGAGAGCTGGATTTATTCTGATACAGGCAGCACACCCGCAGCCAGAGAAATTACGTCGATTCTAAAAATGACAAGGTTGAATTTATTAGATTAAGATTCATGTGTAAGTGCAGGGTGATGAAAATTATACAAACAGCTCCAAGTCCAATGTGAACTGCAGGATCGCTTCCGGCTTCAAGGGCATGTAACATAACATCTGAATATTTAGATCTGTAGAGGGATATAAAATAGTATTAAATTCTCGGTGTGTGCACATATAGTTAAGTTGGGAAAATTCTGGAGCAAGTGTCATTTTACAGCCTCTGCTTGGGTGTAATCTGGGCTCGAGATAGCGCTTACGTCCAAATAACTACCCAGTGAATATATCCTACAGACAGAGTGAGTTCTGCATCTTCGAGGTGTGCCGCGGTATGTGTACCTCTTTAAATATCTGCGGCGTGGCAGAAGTGATATAAATACATTTAAGAAAAGCAGACGCGCAGATAATTGAGCCACTGCACGGATTACAACAAGGAAATAAATATTACTACTAGGTTGGCAGTGGAAAATGTGAGCAAATGGGGGGCTTTCGGAAACGCGTGGAAGGGGCCACAGGTTCTGCAGCTACGGGCGCTCAGCAAGCTGAGGTGGGCTCTATTGGGATACCCGCTGCCTCGGACCTTGGGGCGACTACTGGGAGAGTCTCCGCCGGAACAGGCAACAATACCGCACCTTGGGGGTTCTCCCAGACAACGCGTGAAGATTCCGAAGCGCTGAAGCCAGCACTCCAGGTAGCAGGGCCTCAGGTCCTGCGGGCAGCCCCGCCCCCTTGGACACTTCAAGTACACCTTAATTCTGGCTCCACCAGGCTGGAGCAGTGCGCATTTAGGCCTACCGGTTTGGAGTAAAAGCGAAGAACAGGGCGGGTCTCGCTTGGTTCCGAGGCACCTCAAAACTGGAAGTCACAGGCCAAACGGAAGAAGGCCACGATTTCACACCCGTGTGGAATCCAAGCAGCGCCCGGCCCTTGGAAGGCCAGCTGAGGCTACAGAAGCAGTTATCTGGGCGTATTTACTTATGAAATGTTAGGCACCCCCTCACATACCCAGTACAGAGGCCCAGATGCCACATAGATCTCCCCCGCATATTTGCAAAGCCCAGGCAACGCCACCAGCTAGGTCAGAAACACTGCAGCTGTGAAATTCCAACACCAAATGCTAATTCCAGAATAGGGAGCCTGCGACCCTCCACCCATCTCACCACCTGGTCTTTTTTTTTTTTTTTTTTCCCCCTCACCCCTCCAAATACACCCAACCCTTAAACAGGCGCAGAACTTCTGACAATTCCTGCTTGAGGAGAAATTAGGACTTGGTCCTGAATTCCAGGGAATTGCACACACTCCTGAGGCAACCCTGCCGCAGAGAAGTAACCCGGGCCCTGAGAATGCCCTGCTTCAGAGAGTGTGGTTGCGCTGAAGTGGTATATACCGTATAGTGAGAGGAGGGAGAGAGAACAGGAAACATTCCCTGGCTAGTAGAAGAAGTATAAATGAAGAGAGGGGAAAGGAAGAAAAGGCTGAGAGCCAAGAAAGAGTCAAAAGAGGAAACAAAAACGACAAGGGGCTGGGGGAAGAATCAGAAGAGGTGAGCCGAGAAGAGCGCAGGCCTTGGTGAGGCCCAGGGACCAGGCCAGGCGCTGGCAAAGGCAAACCTGGTACCTCCCCGGCCCCAGAGGAGGCTAGTGCCGCTGGGGACCGTCCCCCACCAGCCCAGCGAATCTCGGCTCGGCTCCCAGCCCGGAGGGGCGGGCCTGGGTCCAGTGGCCTCTGCGCGCCCTTTCTCTCCCCACTCCCGGGGGACCACGAGGCGGGGCGGGACGGGGAAGAGGGGGTGCCCCAAGGGGCGCGCGCCAGTCCAGGACTGTTTGGACGCTCTGGGCCAGGCTTTCCAGCTCGCCGGGCCTGACCTGTCAGCCGGATTATCTTCGAGGGAGATTAATAGGGGAGGCGGGCTGCAATAATAATCGTTTTGTTTGATGTGACAACTCTGATAGGCGTTGATTTACTTACAAACTGATAGGCTTTTAATTGAGCGCCTCCGCCGAGCCAGAGATGAAAGGGAAGCGGCGGTGAAAGGCGGCCCGCCTGCCCTCCGGCCTCAATACTGATTAGCCATCTCGACAGTGAATAGTTCAAGGCATTTTCAAACTTTTTTCCTCAGCTCTCTCTCTTTCCTTCTCCTCCCACCCCCTCCTCAAATATCTGCCAAGCCCACTCCTTTTTTAGAGAAAACAAATCATTTCCATTGTGTGCAAATAAAATCCACGGGACATCCACGCCAATCACCGCTGGGGGTTGGAGGCATTAGGCCCAGCGCGGAGTCACTAATAACCCCCCCCCAACCCCCGCGGCCTCACGGCCTTCGGGTATCTGACCTCCCCTTCGAGGTGCGCAGGTTCGGAGGCTGCAGCCTCCCGAAAACCCTGGGAGTGCAGACCCCCAGGCGCCCCCGTGCGCTCGGACCTTCGGAGTTCGATTTTTCGAAGAGCGAATGCGCGAAGACCAAGATCCGCGCGCGCGCGCTGCATCGTGCAGGCCTTAGAGCATGTGCGACCACACCGTGGCCCGCCATTCCAAGGGACACAGGGGCCACTCTCTGGTTCCCCCAGCTGCCGGGGGTAAAAAGAAAGCTGCTGGAATTCCAGGAGAGGGAAAGGACAGAGTCTGGAGACGGCTGGCTGGAGGGCTGGGAGAGGGGGGAAGGGAGGGTCCCCCGCGGTCACCTCACCTCCATCTCTGGACGCCGCCCCCAGCATCCTGTGTCCGGGCCTCGCCGGGAGGCTGCGGCGACGCGGGGCCCACGGCTGGGCTCGCGGGGCTGGGAGATCTACAGTTGATCTGGGCGACACTTCGACAACCACTAACCCAGTGACTCAGACGCTAACAGAGCAGCAGGATACAGGCAGCCTCAAAGGGTCTGCTCTGCAGAGACAGAACCGTCCGGTTGTCAGAAACCGGCACCTGGGACTCGCTCCCCAAAGGTTATTTCAGACAGCCTTCACAACTTCGCATGTGGCCTCGCCACAGTCTCACGGACTCACCTTCCTCCGCTGTCGCACCGGCAAACACTCCAAAGCCCCTTGAACGGAGGTGTGTTCTTACACCTAAACACACGCACACATACACCGACAAACTCCTCATATATACACCGCCTCACTCCCCGCTTCTCCAGATTGTCTTTAGTCAAGTTACCATCCCATGAAGTTTACCAACCTAAAGAATCAAGGGATAAAATTAAAACGCGTAAGAAGAATGCCTATGAGAAATTCTAAAACTCACCCCTAGAAAGTTCTCGGTACCTGTGCGGAGTGGGAGACAGACAAAAATGAGGGAGGGAGGAATGGGGTGGTGAGGGTGGAGAACGCGAGCACCCCGAGGGCAGGTCCCAGACCCGACTTCGGCGCCGACGGGGCACCGGCCGGGCGAGCGAGGGTGGAAACCGGGTCTCAAGGCCCGGCCCCCGCCCCCAGCCCCCCAGCGCGGGTACAGACCGGCTCCCAGCTCCCCAGCGCTCCCAGCCCCACCATTTATCAAAAGGACTTGACAACAAAAGAAGAGCCGGGGCGGAAAAGGGGGGGAGGGGAGAGTCAAAGTCTTCCAAGTCCTTCCGAGGAAGGGGATGTACCCTCCTCTCGCCCCCTTCCAGTTTCTGCGAGTTTTTGGAGGTCACCCCACCCCCTCGAATTCGCTCCGGACGCTACCAAAGCCCTGACAACTCACACAGCGGCACAGGCATTCATACACACTTCTGCACTCAGATCCAGGTACACGGAGGCACGCGGAGCGCCTCCCCTCTGCCTTCCCAACGGCCCGAGTGACGGTGCAAATCGAGGGGAACACGGCGGTCCCGCTCCGCTTCCCTGGAAGAGCCGGTTGTTTCCACAGGCAGCCGCCCCCCCCCCCAACACACACACCACCCGCCCCCTCTCTCTTGCTTCTTCCCTCCGCTCTCCCCGAGCTGGTCAGTCCTGGCTCGGCGTTTCAATCAATTCGAGCGAGCAGCCCGGAGTAACCCTGGCTACCAAGACCGCGAGGATGGCAGGGGGTGAGGGAGGGCTGGAGAGGGGACCTGAGTGAGCCTGGAACGTATCTGCCCCGAACACACACGTCAGGCCTCTTCTTCGCAGCCTCTCAGCCCTAGCCACGACGGGGGACGGGTGTCAAAGAACTGAAGCGGGGGTACCCCACCACTGACCTCCAGAACTCAAGGCTACGTTGGTAATGTGGCTCTTAGAAAGAAGCCTCCGAGTTTGGAGTCAGGGCACTCGGGAGGGGGGAGAGGGGGCCAGTTGGCACTGACGGCTGCACTCTGCGAGCCCCGAGGGGACTACCATGGCTTGGGGGGGGGGGGGGGGTAAAAAATCTCCCGTGTTGGACGTCGCCACCGCCTGTCTCGGGTACCGAGAGCGCTCGGGACTCTGCGCGCGGCCCCAAAGGAACGGGATCCCCAGAGGTGGAAGGGTGTTCTCTCTCTCTCTCTCCAATACCTAGAGGAGCGAGGCGCACACCCCAGGCCAGTGCACCCTTCTCAGCGCCCTGGGCGCACCTGCGCACTTTACTCTCACTATTCATTTTCCTGACACTGAGCGCCTTTTTCTCTTCTTTCATTCTTTTTCTTAGAGCCCCCGCCTCTCATCCCAGGAGGCTGCTCCTTTCCCCCTCCTTCAGTTCCCCCTCAGTCTCTTCCTTCCTCTGCGTCTCTCTCTCCCTCTCCCTTTTTCCCTTCAAGTCGCACCCGCCTTGTAATCAGCAACAAAAGCTGACATAAATCACCGGCGGATTGACAAGAGCTGACAAATAACTGATTGATTGCGGTCGGGGAACATTGACAATTGATGGAGGGGTGGAGATGCCCAGAGAACTCGGGAGGGGGGACGCGGGTAGAAGAAGAGAGGGTGGCAGGGGAGAGTAAAGGGGGGGGGGGGGGGGGGGCTGAGTGTGAAACAGAGGAAACATGTGACCCCCCTCCTGCCCCAATCTGCGCATCTCCGGGCGTCACGTGGCCGGGAAGGGCGGGGAACCTAGCAGAGAGCCGAGAAGTGCCTTCACCGCCTCCGCTGCCCACCTAGCTTCTGGTTTCTCCGCCGCCGAACCCCGGGAAATCAAAGCGGGCGGGCGGACTTCCTCCAACACTCGCTCCCCACCTTTCCTTACCCAGGAGGCTGCACCGCAGGAGATTTCAATTACTGAGGCGGGGGAGAGAATACTTGGGGGTGCGGACCTCCTTTGCGGCCCTGGAGTTGACAGTCCGGCTGTAGTCCAGACTCCTGCTAGTGCTCCTTCTGAACACCCTCAAACTGTTCCTTGCAAGCAACCTCCTGCAAAAGAAGGTTTCAGTTTATTCTCCAGCTGGGGAAAAGGAAGGACGACCAGGAAGAAAAGAGAGGGAGGCGGCAGATAGCAAACGTAGAATAAATGTCCAGCTCGTCCTCCGAGCGAAATCAAGGGAGGGGACAAGCTGGGGGAGCGGCGAAGACGGAGCTGCCCATTAAAACCAGCGCTGAGTCCTGGCGGCGGCGGCGGCGCGGGACGCGTCACATCCCCTTGACCCTCCAATCACCTCGGGCTCCCATTTGATTGGAAGGCGGCAAAGGCTTTAATCTCCCCCTCGGTGCAGCTGCTTTTGAAGTGAGTTTCCTCGCCAGAGCCCCGGCTGGACAGGCAGAGGCTCACATCGCGGAGAGCAGCGCCAGCGCCGGGCCGCGAGTGCGCAGCGCAGGGGCACAGCCCGAGGCCGACACGGCTAGCCACCCGGCACTCCCGCAGTCGGGCTGGCTCCTCCCGCTCGGCCACGGCTCCGCAGCGGGCCACCCAGGATTATTCGCTTGTGGCTCCAGGCGCCAAGAAGGCGCGCTGGGCGCCGGTGACCGCCGCACCAGCTCCACCTCCTCCTGCTGCTCCTGCTCCCCGGGCGAGAGCGCAGCCCGGAGCCCGCCCCGCGCCTCCTGGAGCCCTCCCCCCGCTGCTCCCATGCGCGCGGGTGGGTCATGAGCACAGCGCCCTCGCTTTCTGCCTTAAGAAGCAGTAAGCACAGCGGCGGCGGCGGCGGCGGCGGCGGCAGCGCGGACCCTGCCTGGACCAGCGCGCTCTCTGGAAATAGCTCCGGCCCCGGCCCAGGCTCGTCCCCGGCCGGCAGCACCAAGCCTTTTGTGCACGCCGTGCCCCCCTCTGACCCTCTCCGCCAGGCTAACCGCCTGCCCATCAAGGTGCTGAAGATGCTGACGGCACGGACTGGCCACATTTTGCACCCTGAGTACCTGCAGCCCCTGCCTTCCACTCCGGTCAGCCCCATAGAGGTAAGGACCCTATCCCCGGATCGCGCTGGGACCACCACCTTGGCTGCCCTCCACGGGATTTCTTTCTCTTGGGATCTGCGGGGGGGGGGGGGGGGGGGTTCGGAGTGATTCAGCTCCGGGATGAGGGGAGAGGATCGTGCTCCCGCACCTTAATCTAGGGCGGAAAGAGGGGAGGAGGTAGAATGGGGTGTGAATGCTAGGAGCCGAGGCAATCAAAACTTGTGTCTCCCTTTGGTGTTAAAGCCCCTACCTCGACCCAGGCCCCCTCACTCTCAGGCCAGAAGACAGACGGGAGTCCAAAATACGGCTCCAAAGTCCCGGTCCTCCGGTTCCCCAGAAGCTGGTATTTGTACACAGCCTCTAAGGCGCCAACGACCCGAGCCCTTACTCTGAAGTATTAGGGATGAGGGGGTGGAGAGTACAGTTCTGGGTGAAAGAGTCAGAAACCAAAACATTTTTCGAGTTTTTTTTTTTTTTTTTATATTGTGGCCTTTTGCAAGAAAGAGAATGTGTGTGTAGAAGGGGTGTCGCCTAGATTTGCGCCTTGGGGCTGGAAGGATCTTTACGGGTCGTGGCGGAGGTGCTCTCGGAACCTAGAAGGCAGGATTCTAAAGGGTTTCCCCTTCTTTCTTTGTGCCCCCCCTCCTCCACGTCTGACCCTGCAGCTCGATGCCAAGAAGAGCCCGCTGGCGCTGTTGGCCCAAACATGCTCGCAGATCGGGAAGCCCGACCCCTCGCCCTCGTCCAAACTCTCCTCAGTCGCCTCCAACGGGGGCGGCACGGGTGGTGCCGGCGGCGGCGCCGGGGGCGACAAGGACGCCAAGTCGGGCCCCCTCAAGCTGAGCGACATCGGCGTGGAAGACAAGTCGAGTTTCAAGCCGTACTCCAAACCCGGCTCGGATAAGAAAGAGCCGGGAGGCAGCGGTGGCGGCGGAGGAGGGGGCGGCGGGGGCGGCGGCGGGGGGGTTTCGGCGGAGAAGTCCGGATTCCGGGTACCGAGCGCCACCTGCCAGCCATTCACGCCCAGGACAGGCAGCCCAAGCTCCAGCGCCTCGGCCTGCTCGCCAGGAGGCATGCTGCCTTCGGCCGGGGGCGGCCCGGACGGCAAGGACGACAAGAAGGACCCCGAGGCGGGCGGCGGCGGTGGCGGCAGCAAGGGCTCCGGGGGCGCCTCGGCCGAAGGGGGACCCACGGGGCTGGCGCACGGCCGGATTAGCTGTGGCGGCGGGATCAATGTGGACGTGAACCAACACCCAGATGGGGGCCCCGGGGGCAAGGCTCTAGGCTCGGACTGCGGCGGCTCATCGGGCTCCGGCTCTGGCTCCGGCCCCAGCGCGCCCACCTCCTCCTCGGTGTTGGGCTCTGGGCTGGTGGCGCCCGTGTCGCCCTACAAGCCGGGCCAGACAGTGTTCCCTCTGCCTCCCGCGGGCATGACCTACCCAGGGAGCCTGGCTGGGGCCTACGCCGGCTACCCGCCCCAGTTCCTGCCACACGGCGTGGCGCTCGACCCCACCAAGCCGGGCAGCCTAGTAGGGGCTCAGCTGGCTGCGGCCGCGGCAGGCTCTCTGGGCTGCAGCAAGCCCGCGGGCTCGAGCCCCTTGGCCGGAGCGTCACCGCCGTCCGTGATGACAGCCAGTTTGTGCCGGGACCCCTACTGCCTCAGCTACCACTGTGCCAGTCACCTGGCTGGGGCTGCAGCGGCCAGCGCGTCTTGCGCTCACGATCCAGCCGCGGCAGCGGCGGCCCTCAAGTCCGGATACCCGCTGGTGTACCCCACGCACCCGCTGCACGGCGTGCACTCCTCGCTCACTGCGGCCGCGGCCGCCGGCGCCACACCGCCGTCTTTGGCCGGCCACCCCCTCTACCCCTACGGCTTCATGCTCCCTAACGACCCGCTCCCCCACATCTGCAACTGGGTGTCGGCCAACGGGCCTTGCGACAAGCGCTTCGCTACGTCTGAAGAGCTGCTGAGCCACTTGCGGACCCACACGGCCTTCCCCGGGACAGACAAACTGCTGTCGGGCTACCCCAGCTCCTCGTCTCTGGCCAGCGCCGCAGCGGCCGCCATGGCTTGCCACATGCACATCCCCACGTCGGGCGCTCCGGGGAGCCCCGGGACGCTGGCGCTGCGCAGCCCCCACCACGCGCTGGGACTCAGCAGCCGCTACCACCCCTACTCCAAGAGCCCGCTCCCCACGCCGGGTGCGCCCGTGCCCGTGCCCGCCGCCACCGGACCATACTACTCCCCCTATGCCCTCTACGGACAGAGACTGACCACGGCCTCGGCGCTGGGGTACCAGTGAGGGCGGTCTCCAGGGCTGTTGAGGGAAAGAAAAGAACTGGGGGGTGAGGAGGGGCCGAGGGAGGGGCGGGAACAGGACCAAGGCGACTGTCACCCGCGCGTGGGGATGACCCGGGCCAGGAAAGGAAAAATATATATATACTGTATCTATCTACCCGAAACAGCGACCGAGACCCGGTGGGAAAGTCCCCTTTCCCCCACCTCTCATCTCCCCACCCAAACTTTATAAAAGTTGAAAAAAAAATATCATTTGACTTTTTATAGA